CCCCCAAAAACCAAAAACTGGAAGCTTGGCATTCAGACAAATCACCCATCAATAGACAAATTGAAATAAACCATATTTGCACACTTTTCAAAAGAGACAATGAAAAGGTTAAGGAAGCAAAATGACCATCAAGCAGTCAGGTAGGCAGGGATTAATACCAAGAAAACAAGCAGAAAACCATAATCAAGGAACTACTAAGGAGGCAACCACATACACACACCCCATCACACCTGGCAAAACTACTGTATATAAAAGGAATAAATCCCACACTCGCACTGGCACTGATGATTTTACCTAGTTGGGTATTGAAACATCTCCAAGCAAATAAATCAAGCTCAGAGAGCACCAAGGACTCCAGTTATTCATCTATGCAATTTTGAAACAATGTGAAATATAGTAGGACTTCACAGACATGAATTGATTGGTTAGCAGGTCTCCATTGTGAAAGGTTTATAGATAAAGCTAACTTTTATTGACAATTCTTTGCACTAAGACAATATTTTTGGACAAGGTACATTACAATCTCTATGTCAAGGAACTAATACAGGTTACGAGTAGTTGCCTATTCACAAAAGGGCAGTCACAATAAATATAACTTGTCACAAACACCCAAAGAAAGCTGATGAGTTTCCCCCCCTGTCTATTTTGCTAGATATTTCCCATTATCAGTTAATATCTAGTGATTCAGCTTTTTTTTGGTCTGTTTACTATGTAAAATATTTCACTCCTAACTTGGAAAGACATAGGGTGATAATACGAAGGAAGGAAAATCGAGAAATGCTAATACTTTTGTCTATTAATCAACACTTTGTGGCAATTGGTTTTTCATCTCCACCCCATACAAATTACACAGGGATATTTTAATTCTATGTTTTGTCCAGTTGCGTACCAAAACAATACATAATAGGCATTTTCATAAGATAGTTGGCACTGCTGGAGGAATTAGGCAACACAACTGCCAGTTTTTACCCGCAAGAGTTCACTTGTCACATTTTCTAGCCAAAGTAAAATTGTAGATTAGTAGTAACTCCTTCTCAACTCAAGAAAAACAAAAATTCCATCTCAATTCCTCCAGTGAGCTTTATTTCTTTCTTTTATAGCCCTCAATTTCAACAATATTAAAAGAGATGTAGTCCAGGGGTTCTAAAAACATTCCTGCCATGGAGATTGTTCTATGATTTTAGATCCAGAGACTTTCTGTACAAACCTTAAAAGAAAATTAGCCTGTGTAAATTCTGGGTTGATAATAATTAAACCAATTATTGGTATAATTGATGCAATCTTCAAATGATTACGTGTGTGAGAAAATCAGTAAAAAGATGTACAGTCAATGGAAAACTTGCATGGCACGACAAAACCGCGGTCCACTAAAGCGCGCCCGATTAAAGCGCGTACCTGACGTCATCAGCAG